TTCCCACAGACCTGTAAATGACTTTGATCTCCATCTCGTGCTTAATGTGAAAGGTATTTTAAATGGTTGAATGATTCCTGCCATTGTTTCCATCCTGGTGCAGAAACCACTGATTTTTCAGTGGAGCAGTGGGGAAGCTGTCACGTTGCTGCACCACATACAGCTGCTGTTTGCTTGCTGCTGAGCTCAGGTATGAGCTGCTGGATTGCTAGAAAGACTGAAAATCAGACAGGAGCAACTCCCAGTGCAGCATTATTTGTGTCTGCAGTGCTGGAGACTGAAGGCAGGGTCATGGCATTGGTTGGGAAGCTGACCAAGTTAAAACTGAGCTCATCTGAGACTCAGAATTCACTTTGGTTTCAGCTGAGTGAATGCTTGCATTGAATGCCCAGGGATTCCAATCAGGTGCCCCACTGAGAGCTACCTGTGACACGGTGACAGCAGCACTCAGGGGGGTGCAGGCAGGACAGCTGAGGTGGAGCATCAGGGATTTCCGTGGGAAGAGGAGAAGGCCTGACTGGAGGCTGGAGGATGCTTCCCAAGGGGCTTCTCAGACCAATTTAGGAGAAGAAGGGAGAAATAAAATCTTGTCTTTTGCTCAGGAGGTGTTTCAGCTGCTAAACCTTTCCTCTACCCAATGCCAAGCATCATAAAAGCAGATTTTAAGGTCACCTGTATTTGTTCCATGTTCATGTACTTTGACTTCCCAGCAAGTTTCTTGTGTTAATCTGCTGAAATGAGAAGAGATTCCAGAACCACTGGACATAAAATAACTTCAATCAAAATGCATCTGTCATCAGTGGATGACAGAAAAAAAGTCTCCAGTGACAGGAGTGTGACAAATGGTCCCTGGGATCTCTGCTACAGCTTTTGCAAACTGCTGGATGCATTTCTTACTGGTGCCTTGCAATCTCCCTACCAGGGTAGGGCTGCAGCACAGCTTCTGAGATTTACTGTTCTATCTGCTTTTCTGATGATGCTTGGATGAATATTCATTCTTTAAATGAATAATGCCATCAAGAAAAGTGTTGGTAAGAGGAGTAAAAAGCAGAAGGAGACTTGGTTCATTTGAAATGCAGAAACTTTAAACTCTAATAAGAACTTGAACCTTGCTTTCATCAATATGGGATTTGTTAAACTCTTATGTGGAAAAAAAAAAGAAACATATTTTCCCTGTGTATTTTTTTGGATGTAGGTGATAAACTGAAACATTTCCAAATTCCTTTCTACCTTCAAACAAGAGGTCCATTATGTCCTAAGAATAACTGTTGTATGACTATTTCCCTGCTTGAAAACAGCACCATTATTCCATGAAGCTGAAAAATACCAGAAGGAAATAAAACCCCAACAGGAAATTCAATTTGCACCTTATTTAATGCACAGTAACAAAGTAGATCATTAGAATTTTCATAATGAATAGCATTCATTTCTGCAGACTGAGAGCCCAGATTCACAGACTCTCCTGTGTGGTTTTTTTTCCTTCAATGCTGAAACAATTTTTACTTAACAACATGGAGTTCAACTTTCCTTGACAGTAAGGCTATGGAAATCCTAAATAATGCTCAATAGGATCAAATCCTGCTTTTGTTCTCTTTGAAAAACTCTGATCTCTTCATTTTTATCATCACCATTAAAACTTGAAGTGACTCACCTTAAGAGTGGTCCAGGTCCCTGGATCCACAGGCAGCTGGATTGCTCCTGCCCATCCAGATTTCCATGGCAGACCCTGGAGCTCTGGGAGCTGATAGCAGCCCTGGCAGTATCTCCAAGCTTTTTGTGCTCCAAGGATGCAAAATAGGAGCTCCAGAGAGTAGCTGAAGACAGAAAAAGCTGGTGGGTGGGTGTTTTCCTTACAGTGGGAGGTAGAACTGTGCTCCAGCTTATTCCATTCACAAGAGAAGCAGGATGATTTGTTTGGAATATGAAATTCCTTGATATACAGAGAGAAAAGCTGAGTTCCTCCAATAGCTTTTGAAGGTAATGGTTTCTTTTTTCATTTAAAGAAAAATGCTGGGGGTTTTTTTGTCTCTATGCTTGTGGTACCTTAGGGAACAGAAATGCTCCCCAGAGTCTCCTGTTTCAGAAAGACGGTTTTGGTCATGAAAAACAGAATTTCTCCCATCATACTGAGTAGGAATGATCTTGGGGAAATGTTTTTCTTCTGTAGAACTATTTCTGTGTGGTGAATGTTTACAGAATGCCTCTTGCTTTTTGCCTTCTCAAATATGATGTGTGCATCATTATTGGCTCCACAAAGTAATTCTTTCATTTTCCCCATCAGTATAGGAAAAAACCAGTTTCATGTTTACAGTTAACTGCCATCATTTAGGTATAAATTTTTCTTTGGTGACATGCTATGTGTGCCACAGCAGTTGCACAGATCACACCATCAGAATGAACTGTACATATGTAGAGTTCACAGCTGATTTCTCTTCACTGCCTCTGGTGCTCGAGGCATGAACAGTGGTGGGCATATGGGCTTTCTTTTTAATAAAAGACAATTGCAATTCCTCCCTTCTTTTTTATGGTTTTTCTATAGTGACCATAAATATGTGTGCTAAGGCATTATGTGTCAGCTTGAGGGGATACTTTGTCAGAGCCAGGACTTCTGCACAGTTGCAAAAAGAAGAAAAAAGAGCTGTTCAAATCCCCTCCCTGTTACACACCACACTGTACATGGAGTGTGGTACAGCCACATTTGTCCTTTCTGATTTGATCTCTGACTCAAAGTGAAAGCAGCTGGCTGGAATCACATTTTTCCAACCATGGCTGTTAACAGCCTGGGTGACCCTTGTTTTTCCCATGTAGCTTAAAGCTGTGATTAGTGATAGGGACACATGTGGTAAATTGACTGCAAAAATCCCTTGTAATGTGGAGTAGCCAGGGCTTGTTTGTAATTCTTGCAGATCGGTGTGTGTGTGTGCCAGAGATGATGGATCTGCTGGGGGCTCCCATCATGAGCACCTCTGCTTGGGCCCAAATTCATGGCTGGCCAGGGTGGGAGAATTTAACTCAGAAATTCTGAGTTATTTGCAGAATGAGTTAGAGATTGGGTAGAAAGAAGACTTCATAAGGAAAAGGGCAGTAGAAGGAGCTTCTTTTTGACAATAGCAATTGCTGTCTGTAAAAGACTTGTGAAATATTTAGCCCCCATTTTCATGATAGGCTTGAATCCCTGTGGGTAGAGCCTAATAGCTGTGAATGCATGAACCCTTTCCTTCCAAGTTTGTAGTAGTTTTTGCAAACAATGATCTGCCACTTCTTTATGATGCTGAAGCTGGGTTTTCAGAAGCAGCTAGAACAGAGGTGGTATTCAAAATTACATTTGATCATCCCAGTTCATTAGAGCCTTGCCTAGGCAGGTAAAGGGGGCCGCAGTGACCAAATGAGTTCTTCAAAAAATGACTCTTTTGGTAAAACCCATACCAAAGAGCCAGAGAGTTCACACATGCAGCTCCTGAGGCAGACCCAGCTGCACACTGAGCGTCTTCAGCTTGAGGCTGAAAAATAGATATACTTGGATGTTAAAGCTACAAGGTAAATTACAAACTAGGATTTAAATAATCACACAGACATGTGAGTACTCCATAGCACTTAATGAAGTTTAGCATCTTTTAAACATTAAAGTAGAATTCTCCATTTCTACATGATTTAATGGTAAGGATCTGCCCAAAGTAACTTAGAGAAGCAAACTTATTTTAAGTAGGTTTTCCACTGGACCTCCAGTAGGAAATTGTGGTGTAGAGGTTGCCTGTACATTCTGCCTAACAGGATATTTTACTGTTAATTTGAAAATAATATTTTAAGCAAAACGGAGATCAGTAGAAGAAAAAGAAGGACTGAAATTTTTTTTTCTGGATGTTTACCTAAAAAAACAATTTTGGAACCTTCTGCAGCATTTTAACAGAGCCTTAACAGTAGTTCTTTGTAATTCTCAGTCACTGATAATTGAGTTTTGGCTGCTTGTGGATTTAATGCCACCATGAAATGTAATTTGTTTGCACATGGAATATTATCACTGTCTATGCAGAAATGTGAAACCGGAAAAAGGCTGGTCCTGATACTGCTTTCCTTCTAAGCTGCATTTTAGTTCTGTTTATTGTTTTTCTATTAATTATTGTTACAGTAGCAGTCATTAGACCTCCAGGGCTGGGCAACAGACAAAGGAAATTTGCAATTCCTGCCCCAAATGCCTTGCAATTTTAATTTTCAAGGCAGGTAGCTAGTAAGATACTAGCCCATTATAACAGCACTGAGGATGAATATTGAGTACACAATACTGTTCTTGAGACTTGTGGCAGAAAGAGGAATTTAACCCAGTCCCCCTGATAATCTTTCTGTATTTCATATTTTAATTTTTCAAGGACTGTGTAACTGCAAGGACCTAGTGTACTGCTTATTTATTTTTCCTTAATACTCAGAATCCCTGATATTGAATATTTCTGATATTTGATCTGAAGATACTTGAATCTGATGAAGGGGGATGAGATGGCATTCCTTGGAGAGTTAACATGCTAGAGTGCTGTGAAGAGTGGTTTCTCTTACTGAATTACACAGATACAGCAATGTACAGAGGAGCAGGAGGAGTGCCAGAAACCCAAGTGCCTGGGAGGAGCTGGGTATAAATTTTTGGTGATACAGGGGAACACTAAATAGGTAGTTTTGAGTTCTTTGTTCAACCCAAGCTAAAGGCACAGTGTGAAATTCAATCTCCCATGGCACTTTCTCTTAATGGGATTTGGCTGTTAGAGGTAGAATTGATTTCTGTCTTTGGATTGACCAGAAATGCCAATGCAGGACTCTGAATATTTTCTCAAAGCAAAGCAGGCACCTGGTTGTGCTGTGTTCTGGTTTGAGTGAATAGGCATTTCACAGAGGAAAAACTGCCAAGTCACAGAGATCCTTGACTGGCTCTTCACCCTTGTACTGATACAATTGAGCAGCTGACATCCTTAGCAGTGATATTTTTCTAATCTGTGTGGCTTGTTTTTTGATTCCAGTGTGTGGCTGTGACCTGGCACAAGGAGGCTTTTTTATAAAGAATGGAGAATATCTGTGCACCTTGGACTACCAGCGCATGTACGGCACCCGCTGCAACGGCTGCGGGGAGTTCGTGGAGGGCGAGGTGGTGACAGCTCTGGGGAAAACCTACCATCCCAGCTGCTTTGCCTGCACTGTCTGCAAGTAAGTGATCCCTTCACACAACGTGGCAGGAGCCCAGTTCAAGGGAAACACAAGGAAAGGTGTTGCCATCAGACACGAGTCTCAACACAGATTTCTCTTGAGAATGCATTTATTTCGTTATAGAAGATCTGCTGTGGATCTGACTTGAAGAGTCTTGAAAATGCCACTCATTTATATGGGGGACATGGTTTTTTTATGACATGTAGTTCCCTGTTCTCAGACAGTTACTCTCATGTCTGAAAGAATTAAGTGTCAAGCTTACAAATTGAGATAATAATGTGAGTGTGGGTGATCAGCCCAGCTTGGTGGGAGAAATGAAGTGCAGCAAAATTCTGGATGTTACATTTGAGCTCTAAGGACAGTCCAATGTAAGAGCATGTGGCTTTGGGACTACTGGGATTCCCCCTCTTCCCAAATACTCTTTCTTGTCCCCAGTAAGAGAACCAGTCTTCAGTTCTGCAGCAAATAAGAAGGAGTTAGCTAAGGCTCTGTGGATCAGAGAAAGGTGGCATTTTAAACTCCTATCTCTGATAAGTAGTTGAAGTACTTTGTCCTTTTAGCCTGGTACATTTTTCAAGCCCTTTTCTATTGAAAGAATTTTGATTGTTTTCTGTTTTAAATAGGGTGTGAGTTTCCTGCATTTTGATAATCATACAATGTATACATTGCAGTTTTATTTCCCAGGGACAGTGTGAAACATGACATCAATTTTCTGTACATTGCTTTGCATCAATCTCTTTATGTTGAATGAACAAAAAATGAGTCTTTGAAATAGATTAATGAAATTCAGTATTGCTGCTGATTTATTTTTGGCCCACTTAGAGATGGCAGTGGAAAGGAAACCACGCCTGTAACGTTTTGTTGAAATCAGCAGTAGATTTGCTAAGCAGTTTTGGAGTGAGGTGGGGGTCTGCACTCAGCAGTTAACACTCCTTATTAAAGATTTGGAGTTATTAAATGTTGTTCATCCTCTGATTTAGGCACCAAATAAGAGTTAACAGCAATGTCAACTTCTGCCTAGCACACATTCTTAACATTTACTAGCTCCACATTCCTTCACCAACCTCAAGAACAGTTCTAATTCTTTGAGTTCTCTTCTGTATCATTTGCTACCCACAACATCAAGCTGAGACCATCATAAATGTAGGTGTTGTGTCTTAGCAGATTTCACTGTCTCCACTATTCAGATAAAATATGTTTGATAATCTTTTTAAAATGAAAATACAAGGCAAGTCTAACCTCTGCTCTGCTTGCCTCCATGGATTGGATTTCTTCCAGTGCCTGGCTTTGCCAAGGCCACATTGCAGAAACTATTTGGCCTGAGTTTCTGTAAAATATTGATTGCGTTGGAGGAGGGTAGAAAAATCAAGGCATGGGGAACAGAGGAAAATCTCTGGCATAACCTTTGCAAAAATACAGTTTTTTCTTGAACTTTCCAGGCGTCCATTTCCACCAGGAGATCGGGTTACCTTTAATGGAAGGGACTGTCTGTGTCAGATGTGTGCTCAGCCGATGTCCTCCAGCCCCAGAGAGCTGTGTGCCTCCAGCAGTAAGTTGCCATCTCATTCCTGAAGCCTCTCACTTTTCCAGGCTCATCAACATTTGATTGGAACTAGCATAATGTAGTCTTTTGGTGTTTTTATTTTTATTTGCATTTAGAAAAGTGAACTATGTTGAGAATTTCTGTGTCGGTTTTTTTCCTCCTCATTAAGTGCCTGTTACTACAGATAGGAAGAGACACTTAGACATTTCAATGTGGAAAATGACTTTTCCCCAGTGACTGGATTTTTTAAAAGATTTTTTTTTAAATTTTGCTTTGACAGGCAGCAGAATAGTATTTAAGTGATAAATCCTGAGGTTTCAAAGTTGATAGAGTCTATTTCTTTAATGTATGATTGTGCAAGTTTAAGTATTCAAAAGAGGATGAAGTCAGAGGAAATTAATTTTCTTCTCCTATTTAAGAATTCAATTAAATTATCCTTTAAAAGGAGTATCTCCAGGATTATGCTTCCAGTAGACTGATGCCACAATGATACCGTGATCAGAACCTCAGGAAACCATTATAAAAGACACGGGAAGCAAATTAAAGGGAAAGATAGAGAATAAAGAAAGTTTGGGAGGCAAGTTAAGTTGGCTTGCTGTTGGGTTTTAACACTTTTAAAAGGTAATTTGTAAATTACTGATATTAATCTCTGCCTCTGGTAGTTAATTTTTGTTAATCTTTGGGGGTTTCTTTCTCTGACTGCTGGATTGTACTCACCACTCCCCCAGTGTGGTTTTGTAAATCAAAATGGCTGCAGCTTTCCTTGTGACACTGGGTGGTTTTCCTTCAGGGAGAAACTGTGTATGTTCTCTTGGTACTTGGCTTTGAGATCCTGGGATTATAAAGTGCTATGGAAAGACAAAGATGGATAATGTTTGTGCTCACTGGATGAGTCAAGGGAATCTCAGGATATCTGATTTGCCTGAGAACATGTAATCAAACCCTTAGACAAAGGGAAAATGAGAGACTTTTTTTTGTTATTGTTCCTCTCTGTCTGGGAAGTAATGCTTTTCCACTATAATTGTAGATTTGCAACTGAAAATGCACAGGCCTAATCAGCTAAGGAACCTGTAAAACGGCTTACAAGACTTAAAAAGCAACATACAAATTTATGAGGGACTTCAGGCACTGAGAGAATCCTTCTGAGACACAGGAATGATGTGGAAATCGATATTTAGGGGGCAAAATTGGCAAGGAGCTGCAAGGCATAGGGACCTTGGACAGTACTGACTTGTTTTCCAAGCATGCCAGAGCATAGAGGAATCTGGACCTGGCTCTCCAAAGGTGGCACACCTGTCCAGCAGCGTGGCACTTGCCACAGGCCTGACTCCAGGTGCCAGAATGGCCCTAGACAATGTCAGGTTATCCTTGTCTGATACTTAGCAAGCCAGAGAGCTGGACAGTCACTTCCCCACAGCCATGCTCTCTACTGGAATTACTTCTCGGCTTCCACACTTCCATAGGTAGCAAGGATTATAAAATAACATTTTGTGTGACTTGTGATGAGATTATTGGGGGTTTTGATCATATTTGTGTCCTGCTGACACACTGGTTTGCCGGTACACACAGCTAGAGAGCTCCTGCTCTCAACAGCTTAGAGTGCACTGCTTTAGAATCTGTAGGCATCTGCCATGGTGCATCTTGTTCTTTTATGGACAAAGACTTGTTGAAATGTGTAGCATAGAGTTTCGGGTTGTTTTAGTGCAAAACTCTCAAACAGATAAATAAAAATGAGAACAGCTTATGTTATACGTTCAGAACTAATCAATTTTTAAAAAATCAATGAAGCATACTCTGTCTTCAAGGATTTGCCAGTTGCTGCTTTAGCTTTGTGCAAAAGTTGACTTAGATACACAAAAGTATCTTGCTGGCACCAAAGAGTTAATTTTAATTAGTGTAAAGTATTTCAGATTACTTCCAGGTTTCCCCTGCTGGCTAATACACACGTATTTTTTTTTCAAAAGCTTTGCCATTTTTTGAAAGGATTTTTTAAAATACAAATTCTTTTAGGAGAGTTTCTGATTCACACTATGCATCTATTTCATATCCTATACTGCTTTCAGCTTCCCATGATTACTTTCAAGTCGATCACTAGAGGAGACTTTCCTTAAAACAAGGAAAGTTTGAGGGAATTCAGTAGACTGCAAATATATCAGGTTTGATTGCTTGGTGTAATGTGAAAGGAAGCCTTCTATCCTAGAATGTCTGCACTAATGCTGACATGCCATTTTCCAGTGTCTATTACTTCACACAAATGAAAACTTACCGACAGCTTTGCTTGGATGATTTCAAGGAAAATCAAATGTGTCTGAATACAGGGGTTAACATCTTGAATAACATGAACCTGACAATTGTTACACTCTATTGTAGTGCACAGCAGTCAAAATCAGATGGGAAAAATACTAAATAATTAATTTTTTTTTTCACTATTAGTTGGGTCCATAGTACTTATGTACCTCATTTATATTAGTAATATATTTCTTTCACTGCATATGTGTTACCTGAAATTGTAGCTATTTTCTTGAAGAACCAATTCAGTGACTCTATTTTTATTCTAAATTTTTAAAATTCAAATGCAGTAGAGTAATCATAATTTATAATTTAATCAATCCTATTCCTTGGCTGCTGCTAGAAATACACAGTGCACTAAGTTTGGGATCTTCATTCATTCAGCAGGAAATCTAATAACAAATACCTGTAAATCTCTTTGCAGACAAATGAAATGAGTGGTGTTTGGTTTTTTTATTGTTTTATTTCGTATGACAGCTTGATAAATGGCATGTGAACTCTAAAGCAAAGTGACTGGGACAGATGTAGAGCAGCACAGAAACAGGGGACAAGTAGATAACACTGACTAGAAGTGAGGAGTTGATGCCTTGGATAGTTCAGGGCTTTCAAGATTCTGTCAAATACATTAAATTATTTTCTTTGGGGCCCAATAAAGGAGTAATGCAATAATATATCCGACTAATTGCCATTTAAGTTTTAAGCAGTGTCCAGGTTTTATATTTGATATCATGATTGCCTGATTTGTACTCTCTCTAGTTCTTTCTACTCTCTGTTGTGTTCTGGCTGCAGGGTAACACACTGTGTTTAAGGTCCATGTTGTCTCTCCAGAAAACCAGTTGTGCAGACACCTGTTATTTCTAAATTTTGGGCAAAACTGCAACTGTGCAGTGGCATAAAATGCCTTCCTTTAGGGCATTTTTCAGTGAATTCTCCCCAAGGCATCTGGTAAATGAACTGATGCAGACTTTGAAAATAATAATTTTTATAAAGTGCCACACTGGCTTCCATTTTTTCCGGAATGCACCTGAGGTGTTGTGAGAAGTCCAGCTGAGAGCAGAGCAGCTGTACAGAGATCCCCTCACTTGGACAGGCACAGGAGGTGGTGCCAGCAGGCTGTGCAGCTCGAGCCAGCGCTCTTCTGGCCCAGACATCATCTTTGGAATCCTGAAGAGACTGCGCATGGCTTTGAATGTGGTTTAGTCCCTCTTCCTCAAGCGGAGGGTTTTTTTTTCCTTGAGAAATTCACTATTCCCACAATAAAGCAATAAGAATGCTGTGTCATTTTCTATGAGGTTGAGCCCTTTCTCTGTTGGTTCATTATCTGAGTGCTGGTCTGGAAGTTTTCATTATTTCTGATTATCTGTTTGCTGAAACGTTGGATCATTTTAGTGATGTACATGAACTAGCTAAGAAGTTGCCTTTCAAGTGAAAAGTGTGTTTCCTGGGACAAACCTCCCTACCCAAAAGAAAATGAAGCATTCCAATCACCTAACAGGAGTTTTCATTTTGAAAAATTCATCTTTCAAAATGGTGACAAAGACTTCGACCATTGTTTCTTTTCAGTGAAATAGAAACTGGTGTCCTAATAAATGCCAGTGGTGATATGTCACTGACATATTCTGTGAAAATCCTTTCGCTAGGATTTTTCTCCTGAGAAGCTGAGAAGCCTCAGAAAAGAAATGTAAACAATAACTATCTGATGGCTGTGGAATGTGGTTTGGAGGTTGCTTGCAAACAGTGCATCTTTGGTTCCATGAGGATTGTTTTTACTTGGTGACCAGTCATGGTCCAGCTGTGTCGGACTCTCTGGTCCGTCACAAGATTTTATTATTCAATCCTTTCTAGCTTTCTGATGTCTCCTTTCTCTTTCTTTAATGTAGTTTTAGTATATCATTATAATATCATATAATATCATATCATAAAATAATAAATCAACCTTCTGAAACATGAAGTCAAGATTCTCATCTCTTCCTCATCCTGGGGACCCTCAAACACCACCACAGTGATACAGTTTGGCAAGGAGCAGAGGGAAGATATTTCAACTTCCCTTTCTTTGTAAGAGTCTCTCCTGTGAGTACAGAGCATTGCAGTGCAGCCAAGAGCTGGACCAGAGTTTCCAAACTGAGTGTTCCATGAATAATCCTGGTGCAGCTGTTCCCCAAGCAGCCGGCGTCCACGTGGAGATTTCACATCGTGTTTTGTGTCTTTGTCCTTGTCTGCTCTGCACATTATGTTCTGGCTCTTTGGGACAAATGCTTTCATGCCTATCAGTACAGAGTCTTACAGGGCTGGATTTGGCCTCACAACTGGGGATCTTTGCTCTATTGTGATATAAATAATAAGCTTAATGCTTAATGGACTTGTGGGGAAAAGGTGTCTTTGCTAATTATTCAATAGCCTTATCTCTTTGGAAAAGATGCAGGCAGTAAAATTCCCAGTAAATAACTGAAAGTTCCAGCAAGGCTCTGGAAATACTGAAGTAAAGAAGAGCCAACATACCATACCTGCTGGAGGAGGAGGAGATGGGAAGGAAAAAGCAGAAGCCATCTTTTGCCTCACTGCCCAGAAAAGTGGCAGAAAAGTGAGCTTGTATTTGAAACAACAGACCATCAAAATGGAGAAGCAAATTTACTTTGCAGTGCTCCTTAAAAGGCTCTTTAATTCTTAATGCAGTCCTATAGTCAGGACATAACTGTCCTTTCATTAGATAAAAATAT